TTCCAAGTTTGAAACTTGGAAGTTCAAATTTTTAATCACTCTGACCTGGGTGACTGAGAATCTTCACCAGCATCTTGCATGGTAGAGTTACTATAAAAGAAACCCCCTATTATTGAAATTAAACAGAGGTCTGCTGATAACATTACATACAGATAAGATGACTTAAGAGATGACATATTTGGATTTTTGACTACATATTTATTTTCCTGTTTATTCATGTAAAAGTTTATGTTAACAAACATGTAAATGTGAAACTTAAATGCAAAAACGAATAATTACCTTGTGGTTTTTAAATTAAAATCTTAAAGGATATTAAAATGATTGTAAACAGTTCCCTTAAAGCTTTAAATCTACCATAAAAGCTGTGGCGTTTTTTTTTTTTTTTTCTGGCCACGCAGATGTTGGGTGTTCCCTCGCACGAGCCTTTAATGGTGGCACGTGTGACATTAGCACCTTGGTGCGGGTAACTTTTGTCGCGCGCGCAGCCGCACAGCCTGGGGCCGCGATGCCGACACGTGTCCGTTGATTTTGTCCGTTTGCCTCATCCTCAGACATGCCGGGGGAAAATCCTAGAAGTGACGAAAAAAAAAGGTCACCTCTATTTTAGGGTTATACCGTAAATTGTAATTATTATAAATATAATTTTCCTAAAGTCATACTAACTGGGAGACCTGAATCATTTAATGAAACGCTTATTTATTCTTATCAGTCACAGTCATTTCACTAGGCAAGGCAAGGCAAGGCAAATTTATTTTTATAGCACAATTCAGTACAAAGACAATGCAAAGTGCTTTACATTATTAAAATATAGGAAAATAAAACATAATCAAAGCAAGTAGAAAAAAATAAATGAAAAATACAGAAACAAAAAAGAACATTAAGACAGTTGGACAAAAGGAAATAAAAAAGTTGAACTAATGTTGTTTCAGTAGAACTGTTTAAGTAGAACAGTCGAAGGCACTAGATGTTACGAAAAACTCTTATATATTGTTATGTATATTGAACAAATCTTGAATAAATGACCTTAAATCAGAATTAAAAGAGCACTTAAAATGTCTTGTATGTAATTTATAAAATTAAATGTCAGATTAACAATGTGGATATCACATGTTAATGTCTGATCCTCCTGAATAATTTATAAACAATTTTGTATTTTATTATTTGGACCCCAGGAAGATTGGTGACCACCTTGGTGGAAACTAATCAGTATCTTATTTAATAAATATGACAGCTGTAGCCTAATTTATACAGGATGTCCTGAGAATGTAAATATATATTTTACAATAATCTCCATATAGTTGAAACTATATATATATTTTTGGATCTTGTACAGAAGAGCTGAAGTGTGGGAACCCACTGCAGCAGGTGACTTGCTGTAGCCAAAAGGCATTTGGTCCCTTTGCCTTTATTGCCTCCTGTCTGAGGAGTCCTAACACTTGTTAGGACAAACTGTTTGGCTGCATTATGATGGGAACAAGTAACACTTTAGAACATTTGCTCTCTGAGATGCTCTTTTTTTTCTCCCCTCTGTAATACCTTTTAGTTTTGATAACTGCATTATTTAATTTGATCAGCTTCGGCTGAAGCTTTAATTTGTTTACTTGAGCTGATGTTATAAGTGAATTTCTCCATTGTGAGATCAGTAAAGTCTTATCTTATCAGGCACACAAAGGAGCATCCTGTCTGTCATCCCAGCAGGACTAAATCCTCTCTCCTCTCTGGAAGAGGATTGTCCAAATCAGAGCCTTTAGTCAATGAGTGCGAACATCTGGGAAATATTTAGCTTAAATATGGTATTGAGATATATTTTCACGATGACACAACATTTGCTTTATTTTCAGGTTTCGTGCAGAGTTACATTTGCAAGATAAAATACTTTAAGGAGAAGTTTGCTGTACTTTTTACTTAAGTAATCTTCTCTTAGAGTATATCTACTACCTGAGTACAGTTTCTGGTTGCTCTACTCACCACGGATAACTTCAGCTATTCAGAGATAATAAACAACTGATTCTGTAGCTGATAGTCATTTATTCTCTCTTGACATAAATGCATTACCTGCTGTACATATATTTTAAATCAGATTTTATCCTTTATAATACCAGAATTTGTGCATATCTCTGATTACATCATTTCAAAACAGAAAATTGGATGTTATGAGCCAACAGTTACTACTTGAGTAGACATTTTATCAATACTCTTTCCCTGCTGCTTTTTTCATTACTATTTTCTCGTTTTACTTAATTAAAAAAAATGTTTTTAAAGTAGTGCTACTTTTATCTGAGACATATATGCAATTAATTCAAACTAAACAAACCATGATTGGAATTTCCTTCTGTGTTCCACCTGTGTCTCTAGACCACAGAACTATGATGTACATAAGTATAAGAAATCTTGAGGAAATATGAGATTGGATTTCAACCTAAATGTGCAAATAGGTTGATTTACAGTACATGAAAATAAATGGGAAAAGAAAAACTTCAAATTGTAAATTAATTGGAGCGAATTTTGATTAAGAAAAGGAAAATAACATATGCTATAAAAGATATGCTATAAAAAAAAATTTGTTTCTTTGAATGATCCTAAAAAATATCTTGGCCTTGCTTTAAAATAAAACTTGTAATACTAGATCATATTAAGATGAATAGTAAACTGATTTAAAAGTGAACTTTGAGGCTCATCCCACTTTTTACAAAAAAATTAATTGTGTGAATTTGACTTTGTTTTCAACTTTAACAGTATCTAAGTAAAGATAGAGCATGTCTGAAAATGTTTGTTATTCAGTGGAGAAAAATACAGTATTGAAAAAAAGATTCTAGATTACACTTGACATTATTTTGTGAAACAGCTTTTATAATAGTGGAATGTTAATAAAAGTAAGAACAAACTCATTTTTGTAGCATTGTCTGCTAGTTTGTAAGGGGGTGGGTGGGGGGGTGGGGGTGTTTGGGGGGTACAGCATGGAAAAGTTTGTGAATCCCTGCCTTAACGATGGTTGTCTTCCTCTTTAAAATACACAGCATGCAAAGCATTAGGGACAAATTAGCATCTTTGCAAACAAAGGTCTTAAGGACCGTTTCACTAAAGCAGAATTAAGAAAATCCAGGAAAGGAGATAAAGCCAGACTTTTCCCGGTGTGATAAATGCATCCTGCAGGAGCGCTGTTAATCACCAAGGGAAAAGCTGCTGTTTGCACATGACAGGACGGTCCCAAATTGAACGAGTCTGAAATTATTTAGAAGCAGAGGTGTCAAGTAACGAAGTACAAATACTTTGTTACTGTACTTAAGTACACTTTTTAGGTATCTATACTTTACTGCATGACTTATTTTTCTTCCTACTTCTACATTTTCACATAAGTATCTGTACTTTCTATTCCTTACATTTTTAAGACAAACGTTACTTGTAACTCTTGGCTTCGGTTTTGTTTATAAATATTTATTTCAGATCTTGTGCTCCATCCAATGCAGATCATTGGCTCCATCCACATCTAGTGAAAACTAGTGTAATTGGATGAGTCATGTAACGCAAACACTCATTGATTAGATAAAGGAAATCATCAGAAGCAAACAGGTGTTCTTCAAACTGCAAACGTGAATTGTCTATGCCATGCTACGATGTAGGATTCAGGAAAAGATGTTGAAATGTCTGAAAGGTCGAACACAGGCGAGAAGGAATCGGGAGATGGAGACCAACAAGACCTCCCTCATCCTTGGCCCTCAAAGAATTTTTAGAAACAGTCGAAAAATTTAGCTTTCTATTCATATCGTGGCATCTGGCTGTTTTTCTTTAAATGTTACTTTATATTTTAAGTCGTTTTTGTAGTACATACGTTTTCCACTTTTACTTGAGTAAAGAGGTCAAGTTGATATTTCAACTTTTACCAGAGTGTTTTTAAGCTGTTGTTGGAAAGTTTAAAGAAGAGCAGTCGTATCTGTACTTCTACTTAAGTAACAAATTGTTACTGTTTATAAGAGACATTGGCCGTGACTAAGACCAGTATTCATACAGAATGGAATGTACATTATGGGTTTACTTGCTGACTACTTTTATTTATTCCCCTTAATGTGAAAAATTCAAACAGGAATCCTACTATTTAAGCTTTTTTTTTCTGCCATTCTGCCATTAGAAACCAGAATTTTGTTCTGTCAAATGATTCTCCTAACTGAGTTGCAGCCCTTTGCAGGGCCTCCGAAGGGCTACAAAACTCTTAACTATTTTCTGCATCGTTATTTTTTCCAGAGGTCTATTAGTTCAATAGTGGACTCTAAAGATCCCGCATGAAAAGTTTATCACCTGGGCTGAAATCTTCCCCTTGTCTGTTTCTTTCTAGTAAAGCAACACTGTGTAACTTTAAGCCATTAGGTGCACTGTTAACGGCCAATGGTAACACTTCATTGTCATATGATGCACGACTTTCGTTCATTAACAATAATTGAATGATAATGAAGGACTTTTGTTAAGCTGGATTTGGGGCAAAATGGCTTTTTGGAGTTTAAAGGCTTCAGACCATGATTTAAAATATCTGAAATGAAGCTAGTACTTATGTCTATGTAGTGTTGCTTTAAAAATGCTTACAGTTGCATTTACATTGATGATAAATAACCTTTATAGTTATCAGGCCACTTCTGTGAGCCTTAGAGATGCCTTAGTACTGAATTTGGAATACTAATGAACAAACAGTTTCCTCCTAAAAAACAAAACAAAAAAAAGATCTATCATTTTTTTCTTCCTCCAAAGAAATGCTTTCTCTTAGTTTATTACGTACTACCTCTATAAAAGACTTTTGACAGAAAAAGTGACGCAGTTTAAAGGGTATTCTTAACTTTGTTTTAGTGTTATTGTGCATGATAAGATCATATTTTTAATACACAATTGAAATGTTTGAGAGGTTTAATTTCTTGTCTGTATAAAGTATAAGACCAGAATAATTAGTTTACTTTCCCATCCTGATTCCAGGTATATGCAACTAGATTGGAATAATCAGGACAGACTGTGCGTGCAAAAAAAGCAATTTATTTGACTGGAATCTTCTAAGCATGACCTAAAAAAAACAAGGCCAAACGTTTCAGTGTTTAACACCAAGCTGTGGATTAGATGCCACCAAACCAGTCTGGATTCTGAACATGTGCGAATGATCACAATCTTTACCTACTCTACATGTGAAAAAGTCTCCTGAACACCATGTAGAGACAACAGGTCTGCTATCAACATTTCAATAGACATCATAACTGCTGTGCAATCTGGATGGAGTATGTGTTAATGTTCCTCTGGATGGTTGTCCTCTTCTCACAAACAAGCTGCAGGAACCGTCAAGGCAAAGCCACTCAAGAGGCAAAGTGGCCACTTGGGAAGGGCCAGGAAATTGTGCTGAACAGGGAACTGGAGCACATGGATAAAAACCCTCTCCTGATGTCTGTGAAGTGAGAGCAAGGCAAAAGCACAGCACCACCTGCTGTGCTCAAACCAGGCAAAGAAAGAAACTGTATGCATCGCTATCAGCAACATTAAAGCAGCATGGTGCAACAAATGCATGGCAGTTTACATAGTTACATAAAAGAGGAAATCCATGAAAAATAAAGAAGATATTTAAAAAGATATAACACTCATCTGTGCAAAAATGCCGGTGCTGTACAAACAAGAGTAAACATTACTCTGCTTTTGGTTTACAGCAGTAAATATATGTTATAAAATCATCTATGAAAAAAGAAAAAAATTTTCATGTGTCTCATTTAGGCCAGGGTCGCCATACAGGATCAGAAACATGTACAGGGGCCGTCATGGAGGAGGAGAAGGTGAGCGTCTGCCTGCTTTCTTGCTGGAGGAGGAGGTGAGGAGACAGAACAGGAGCGTCAGCGGGAGCGACCACTGGAGACCGGTGTGTAGGTGCCAGGGAGGAAACCAGCTCCTGAGACTCTGAAAGCTTCGGAGAGGCCTGGAGCCCGCTGTTGGCCTCCAACTCCCGACTCTTTGATGCTATAAACTGGCTGACCCGCAGCAGACAGGATTTCATGCCGTCATGGTAGCTGTGATGGGGAGTAGAGGTGGGTCTCAGATCCTCTGGGAACATCCTCCTCGGGGTCTGGTGATCCTTCTCCAGCTCCTTCTCCCTTTTTAGGAATTCAACAACACTCTCCAGGATCTCAGCCTTTTCCACTTTGGGATTTTTTAGTTTCTAAGACAAGAAAAAAATAAATAAAGGAAAGTTGCTTTATTGAAATTATTATCCTCCACTCCTTCGATTTTAGCCTCTTAAAGAAGCCATTTTGCTCCTATGTATCAGAAACATCAGTTAAACTTGGTGTTTGGGTGTTTTTGGTTTATTCTAAACTCAGATCTAGAACTGTTGCAATCATATGTATATTCTACAAATATGGTAACAACTGCACACGCTCCAGAAAAAAGTTGAAATTTCTAAAATTAAGTGTATTTGCCCTTAATTTGAGTAGGTAAATGAGATAGTTTGCCAATGGAATTAGTATTTTTACTCTTAAAATAAGATAATTAGATAATATGCACTTGAAATTAGACAATGAAATTGTGTTTTCTTATTTTAAGTCTAAATTGCCTTGTTCTATTTGCAAAATGTGTATTTTACCTCATTAATCCAAGCACAAATGCACTTATTTTAAGAAAAAATGACTAATTTCCATTTTTTCCAGTGCACATTTATAATCACTACTAAATGAACAGAAAAATAACAAAACATAACTGAATGTTTTGGATATTAAACCATAAATGTCTAGACACCATGAATTAGATCTCAGTTTTTCTAAAGATGTTGGAATAAGAAACAAATAGAGTAAATCTGTGACTGATTTTCATGAAATCTAGGATTGCTAGTTTCAGTGAAAAAAAATGGAAATCTTTATGACTCATTTTTGCTTAAATTTAGTGCATCATTTCTTCTTCTTGAATGGAGGAGGTAATTGAGATACTTTGCCAATGGAATAAGACATATTACATTTAAAATAGGGAAAAAATGCTTTCTCTTATTTCAAGTGCATATTATCTAATTATCTTGTTTTTCGAGTAAAAATACTCATTCCATTGGCAAACTTCTTATTTATCTACTAAAATTAAGGGTAAATACACTTAATTTAAGATTTTTTTAACTTTATTCTAGATTTTGCAGTGTTGGAGTATAAGTGTAAGTACTTACTTATTGTGCTATAGTGGTATGGATTCCAGCTGTTAACCTTAGACAACTTTTATTGTCATTTTGTAAACAGTACAGCTTTCATGACATTTTCATTAAAGTGCAGCAGAGATCAGATGTAAACATGTGGGAGAAAAAAAACGCACTGTTATGGAAGTTCAGAGCAGCAATGGCTTATCATGCATCAATGCATTTTACATGCATTTAATGGAGCAGCCTTTGTTAAGAAATAAGTCGATTACGAACTGTTGTTTTTTCTTGCAGAAGGAAATACGCGGATTATAGATTAAATGAGTTGCATGAATCGTCATCTTTCACGGGTGAAACAGTTTGTTACCAAACAAAGTTACAAAAATAACAGTTTAAAATCCATATCAGCAATGCTTACACAGCAAGGCTGTTCTATATGTATAAAAATAAAACACTATGGCGCAAAAACGCACCTCATTTTGCGTGTTTTCCAGCATGAGAAGCCGCAGGGTTTCCAGGCTGCCGTTGATGCGCTCCCGTCTGCGTTTCTCCATCAGGGGTTTGGAAACCTTCAGGGTGGAAAGGAAAGGACATTTCATTAACTTTGGGATAAAATAGTTTAAATATTCTTTCTTTTTACCAGGAATTTACAGCTGACCTTCCTCCTGGATCTGTGTCCCGGAGATTCGGTTGAAGATAAAGCCTTCATGCTCCTTGTTAAACCAGCTCTGTCCCCGAAATGATTGTTGAAACTGAATGAAACCCGTAAAACTCTCTTTTTATTGACCCCCACCAGCCCCGCCTCCGCTTGATGCGCATCTCCTGTCTCACCACAGAGAGCAATGGGATTAAGATTAAAGATTACTGACTGTTGAACTTTTTTTTGCCTTTTAAATGAAACGAAATGTAATAAGAGTAATTACATGCAGCTTTATTTTCTTAAAAAAAAAAAAAAGATTTTGATTATATTTCTGTCACGCTTTTCTTTGGGTTACGTTTAGACTGATGTTCGAGGAAACTATTTCTATACAATTTACAAGGTTATATCTTGGCTCTTTAGAAAAAATTAACTAATTTGTATAAAAGAAAAGACCATCACTTTTCTAAACCCCCCAAATATATATATAAAAAATAAAAAATATGTTTAGGAAGTTGTAGTTAAATATTTCTATATCATGTTTAGAAAGTAATTTAGAATAAATGTAAATATTGTCATTTTAAAACATAGATTTTGAATTAAAATAGTTGCAAACCCCTGTTCTATAACCCGAAATAGAAAAAAAACACACACATAACAATAAGCTAATATAGTTGCATTTTTTACATAAATTCTTAAATTAGCAATAAATGTTTTACAGACAAACATAACAGCATAACCAACAAAGACCTGAAACCTGAACTATAGGGAGAGATGATCCGCCTCTCATCTAAGGAGTTTTTTCTTCCCGAGAAAGACATTGTTTATATTGTTCATGTATTTTTATTACACTTTATTCTTTTTCTTTCATTCTATTAATTTGCCTCATCCCTAATGAAAACCTGTAAACAGAAACTACAGATGAAGCCCCAACCAGTAAAAACATGTTTACAACCAGGAAAGTTTGACTGCTAAGAGCTGCTTATATTATAATTATATTTCTTTTTTTTATTATTGTTTACACACGTTATCATCAAAACATGTTGATATGCGCCAGAAATAACCTAACTGAAACAACTGACCCATGAAGCCTAGAAAGGGGGATTTAAATTATAACAATTTAAGAAAAAATAAGATTTTTTTTTAAACTTTTTGTAGAAAATGCAGCTGACCCGTAAAACCTGAACCTGATACTATGATCCAATGTTTACACTGGAAATAATCGGATTAAAAAAACAATTGAAGATAAAACACAATTGTACTGTCTTACTTGAAGCGCCTGTTATCAAATTATCTTATTTTAAAAGTAAAAATACTGATTCCATTGGCAAATCATCTATTTTCCCTACTCAAATTATGGGTAAACACACTTAATTTAAGACATTTTTACTTATTTCTAGAACGTTTTTCCAGTGTAGAAAATAAAATACACTCGAAACAGCCACTAAAATCTATTGGAGGTGGCAAAAATAAATAAATAAATAAATAAATAAATAAATAAATAAATAAATAAATAAATAAATAAATAAATAAATAAATAAATAAATAAATAAATAAATAGATGAATTTTTGTATATGGCGCTTCTAACCTTTCTGCACCCCCTTTAAAAATAATTGTTATGATGTTATGGAAAAAAAGAACAAAACTAATAATTTTATAACTCATTCAAAAATAGTCTAACATGTAGGCTATTTGTTTCTAAGGAAAAAAAAAATAAAAAAACAAACAAAAAAAAACTATTATTATTAGAAAGGTGCAACGACCTGCATATTTAAATGTGTGCATTCTTAAAAATAAACACATCCAGTCCTCTTAACACTCATATTATCAGTTTAATCTGGTTACTCTGAAATGCTATTAACAAGATTTTATCCAAATGTTCCAGGTTACAAAGGATTAAAACTAGTTTCACTAGAAAAAACAAAAAACCATCAGGAAAAGAAGCTGTAACGTTTAACTTTAACAACATGATTCAGTCTTATGTAGCTGGGTTATTACGTCCTTATGTATTCTTCAAGCATTTATGCGTTCAATTTTACAGCAGGTTTTCAAGGTTATAGGTGTAGAAAATTGTATGTTTTCATTATCTGCATCGAATTAAATCTTGGATACCAGGGAGGTGTTCGTGTTTAAGAACCTTGGTAAAACAGTATAGAAAATAATAGAATAGAAAATAATAGAATAGAATAGAATAGAATAGAATCAGTAATTGTTTCAGTGGAGGATTTTAGGTGAATGATCCGTGGAAAAGTTTATAAATACAGCAGGGTTAGTGAAATACGCACACATGTGGCTGACTTTAAATTTGGCAAAATCCACATTTCTGTCTTTATTGTGTTATTCAAAATACAATCTGTTGGCCTTTCCATTCAAAGAAGAATCCCACATTGTGTGCACTTCCCTCTGAAAGTGAGGGGATAACAAGGGATGATCGGATCAGGGCACCCTGCAGAGATTAAGTGGCTTTTCGGGAAACAAGACTTCCGTTTGAAATAAAAGAACAGAGAGATTAGTGGAGGTCCAGAGATCATGGCGGGGAGAAGGGAAACATTTACTGAACAGCTGCAGAGATAAAAATTAATCATACACTTTACATTTCATCTGTGAACATACTGCTAAAGTGGAGCGTGAGTCCTGGCGCGAGCCTGGATGCTGGAGACACGCGCTCCCGCCCAATAGATAAACCTCAAGGCGCGCTCGCTGATCAACGCGTGGAAACTAATTGGTTTAAAATGTGCTCTTTGTCAGCGGAGAAATGAAGCGTCTACTTCCGATTTCGGGGCTGCTCGACTGTGTCACCAAAACAATCACGATGAAGGAAAAAAAAAGGGACCAAACCAGAGAAGTGACCAACTGGCTCGGTTTTAGTGGAGACTATATTGTGGAAAGTTTAAAGAAGAGCAGCACACTTAACACCCAGGTGGAACAATCCTCTTCACACCACAGAAAGACACGTTTCATTCCTACCTTTTGCTCCACGAGTCTGTTTATTGAAGTCAGGCATCTACATTCAATCTTCATCAAAATCAGGTTTCTTTATTTATTCTCATAAACATCCAACCCAGAACCAGTATTTCAGCTTTTTTACTCTTTGTATGCTCTTCATAGGCTTTTGTTTCTATTTTAAAGAGTAAAGGAGCCTACTGCTGTCTCACACATCATAAAAAGTCTCAATAGCTGATGGTTTTCTCACTTTGATTCTGTTCCCACGAGTAGAAAAACGGGTTCCCATGGTCTCACTTCTTCACCAGTCCACAGGGAAGTGCTAAAAGAAACCAGAAGGATCTGTGATCAGTTATCAAACAAGTGTTTATTAATGCCTACCTACATTTAACACACAAAAACTGAAGTCTACTGTTGAAAAAGGAAAAGTCTTTTGTAACCATGATGGCAATTTATTGTTTCTACCTCCGACTTTGTAATAAAAACATTTATTAAATACAAGTGATTATTAGTATCTATCTATCTATCTATCTATCTATCTATCTATCTATCTATCTATCTATCTATCTATCTATCTATCTATCTATCTATCTATCTATCTATCTATCTATCTATCTATCTATCTATCTATCTATCTATCTATCTATCTATCTATCTATCTATCTATCTATCTATCTATCTATCTATCTATCTATCTATCTATCTATCTATCTATCTATCTATCTATCTATCTATCTATCTATCTATCTATCTATCTATCTATCTATCTATCTATCTATCTATCTATCTATCTATCTATCTATCTATCTATCTATCTATCTATCTATCTATCTATCTATCTATCTATCTATCTATCTATCTATCTATCTATCTATCTATCTATCTATCTATCTATCTATCTATCTATCTATCTCAGAAGACTTTTATAGGACATCAGTGAGCAAGCAGCACCAGGGAGACCAGGTCAGGTCTTTGTGTGCAAAAAACAGGTCAGGAAAAATGATGTGGAGAAGTACAATGAGGTTGTAAAGCAATATTATCAGCTACGAACATTAGTCAGAGCTCTGTTCAAGTTGTTTTTATAGTGTGACATGAATATTAATCCACAAAACTGATGCACCAGACAAGGCGAGTGAAGCTGTCCTATGTTACCCTGGAGGAGCTGCAGAGATTCCACAGCTCCAAAAGAATTCTAGTGTTTATAAAGGAGTGGAGACAGCAATGTAAGAAAATAAGTAGGAACGCCGTCTACCCGTTAGGTTATGTAAGAACTCATCAAATGAGAACAAAACTAAACTTTAAATCCAAAACGCCATGTGTGACAGGCCACCCTGAACACACCATGGACATGAAGAAACACGGTGGTGGCAGCCTCAGGATGTGATTATGTCGCTTTTCGGCAGAGACAGGCAAACTGCATTAGCTAGGGGTGATCACAGTTTTAAAAGATATGTTTTTATTTCTATTTTGTATTTTCTGTGAACAGAGTCATGGCTAAGAAACTAAGGTAGGAAGAAAGAAAGAAAGAAAGAAAGAAAGAAAGAAAGAAAGAAAGAAAGAAAGAAAGAAAGAAAGAAAGAAAGAAAGAAAGAAAGAAAGAAAGAAAGAAAGAAAGAAAGAAAAGAAAAAGTTTTATAATACAGACTTTAGAAGAGCTTGAGATGTTTACATAAAATCCTAATAGAATACACTAATATCTACAGCAGTAATGTAACAAACTGTGGGAAAGTACAACAGGTCTCACATACTCTGTATGCAGGCCTTACAATAACACCCCTGCTCTCCCGCCTCCCCTCACTCACACCCAGCGGCCAATCAGAAGCAGCCGTCAGGGTCTACTTATAAGCACCCACTGCCATCCCAGAGAGTTTTTCAACTTCTGCAGAGACGTTTGGACATCATGACGAAGAAACAAAGCCGAACTCCTGAAGATGGGAGGAGTAGAAAAAGGGTAGGAGACTTTGTTTTGCTTTTAATTGTTATCAGTCGGCATTCCTGTTTCCAATAACCTTCATTTGTATGTGTCTGACTCATTTTATTAGCATTGTTTGATCATTGTGATGCTCTATCACTTGTAAGCCAGCTCTTGGGCGGCCAACTTGAAGTCCTCTTGCAGGTTTGTTCAAAGGACCATCTGACCTACCTGACCTTCTAG